CCCCCCCCCCCCCTCTTTTACCCAGTTGCAGATGTCACAATTGCGATGTCTTATTCGCAATTGCAAACACCGCAAATGCGAAACAAGGGTATTGCAAACCCTATAACAAAAGAGCAAAAGCCGCAAATGCGACATTTAGGTCGCAAATACGAACCTAGAAACATCGCAAATGCGACCAAAAACTTCATAAAAGCGAAGCAGTACTCCAGTGGTCAGCGATCGCAATTGCGACCACTTCCTTCGCAAATGCGAAGGTCTACAGGTTGCAAATGCGAGGTTCACCCAGCCCAGCCGATGCTCACAAATGCGAACCATTATTCGCAAAAGCGAGGCTCGCAATTGCGAGCCAAACCTCACAATTGGGAAATCTGCAACAGAGCACTAGAACTGGTATTGTACCAGCAGTCCTAGCATTAGCCAAACTCATCTTAAACATGTCCGAAACTCACCCGAGTCCCTCGGGCTCAAAATCAAACATGCACACAAGTGTAATAATATCATACGAACTTGCTCGCGCAATCAAATAACCAAAATAACATCTAAGTCTATGAATGAATCTTTAAAATGATTGAATTTTCAAAGTGAAACTTAAGAACACTAGAATCATATTTAAGCGTTCGAATCATGTAAAATCAATTTCGAATTAAATCAAATTTTGCAGACAAGTTTCAAATAGAAATACAGAACTATTCCAAGTTTTAACATCAAAATCCGAACCCGTTAGCTAAGAAGTCAATTTACGGTCAAACTTAGTAATTTCCAACTTTCAAAAATGCTAGTTTTCGACAAAATGAGTCAAAACAAGTTAGGGACTTCCTAATTCAATTTGGGGCATACGCCCAAGTCCCAAATCACCATGCGGACCCATCGGGATCTTTAAAATACTGATCCGGGTCCATTTACACAAAATATTGATCGCAGTCAACTCAAAATATTTTAAAGGCGAAAATTTACGTTTTCTTCAATTTTTCACATAAAGATAAAACAAGGACTGCGCACCCAAATCGATAAATACTAAACGAAGCTAGTACTGTCTCGGAACACCGAAATAGAGGCTAAATCTGATAATAACCTATCGGGTCATCACAATTATAAAGTAGAGAAAGGTAATAGAGATATTATTCCATGGCCGCTTCAGGCTATTGTGATCGGAGCATGATTATAGAGAATTTGTAAGACTACCAAAAATGAAAAAATAATAGAACTTCTAATATAAACAGTGATTGTTAATCGTCTTTTG